CCAATAGAAGCGTCTAATAGTGCACTTACTGCGCAGTTGTAAAAATTCTAATGGTTTTGCTGCTAATCTGCTGCTTACATTGGAGATTTAAAAAGTCAATTTTTATTTTGGTGCTAAATAGTATATTTGGGGTGTTCACTTTATATCTGAGAGTCAAATCGAAGCGTAACTTACTACATCGGTCACTTGTAATTTTGTTTCACACCTACAACACTTGTTACACAGATCTAAGTGATAGAAAATAGATTGATATTTTCTACACTAGAAACTACCAGATAACAAGCTGCTATATTTAAACCAGTTATCAATAGCTAAGAGGTACTTCAACAATATTATAATTCCCTCACAAGTCAAACTGATAGGTCAGTTTACAGGGAAAACTGTTGCATGGATACAATTCTAAAACAATTTCCATATGTCCTTTGCACACTTTACATGCTGGAAAAACACAGGTGCCAACTGCTGTGGCTTTCTGCAGTGTGCATACCGGCAAGGAGGGCAGGGTTGAGGAGTGGGTGGACGATGATGTGGAGGATGATGAGGTCCTAGACCCCATATGAGTGACGTGTGCAGTTTGGAGGAAGAGGCGCTGGTTGCACAGAGGCACCAGCACAGCATAAGAGGGAGCAGGGTGCAAAAGTATGTATTGGCTCGAGAATTACCAGTTATCCAAGTAATACATGTAGCGATCAAAGGATCCATAATAGAGTTGAGCGAACCCGAACTGCAAAGTTTGGGTTCGTACCAGATATAATGATTATAAGGCATTTGATTTGATTAAGCTAGTTACTTGCTATTGATTGCTGGTTAATTAGCTATTGTTTGCAAATAAGCAGAGGCCTACCCAGGTGTTAAACATTCCTAGTGGGTGGTGATTATAGGAGTTATATAAGGCTTGGTGTCATTAGCTTGTCTAATATAACTTGGTGCTACTTCCAAGTGCTGTTTCTAAGTGTGTAGTTGGAGATATTCTGGAGAGTTTTACAGAAGCTTCAACTGTCTAAGAGTTGTGCTAAGAGCTTTCTTTTCTACTGTTACAGGTAAGATTCATCTGTAGGAAAAGGTTACTGATTGCCCAAGGTTTGAATTCCTGTTGGTAATTATAAGGCATTTGATTTGATTAAGCTAGTTACTTGCTGTTGATTGCTGGTTAATTAGCTATTGTTTGCAAATAAGCAGAGGCCTACCCAGGTGTTAAACATTCCTAGTGGGCGGTGATTTTAGGAGTTATATAAGGCTTGGTTTCATTAGCTTGTCTAATATAGCTTGGTGCTACTTCCAAGTGCTGTTTCTAAGTGTCTAGTTGGAGATATTCTGGAGAGTGCTGTTTCTAAGTGTGTAGTTGGAGATATTCTGGAGAGTGCAGTTTCTAAGTGTGTAGTTGGAGATATTCTGGAGAGAAACTGGAGGTAATCTGAGGTATTCAGGAGGATAAATACGAAGTTAAGATTTGTTTGATTTAAATTATTCTACTAATTGGAATGGCAGACTTAGTTCAGTGTAACAATTGCTATGCATTTGTTTCACGTTCCACTTTTTGGAGGTTTGGTTGTTGTCTAATCTGTAGACAGTTCTCTATCTTGCGGCAGGAGATTATATTTTTGAAGTCTGAGAATTGTAAATTATCTGGTGAACAAACTCAGACTGGAACTGCTGCAAAGCCACTGCCGCAGAGACATACTAGGAATGGCAGATGGATTACTGTAGGCTCTGGTAGACTTAGAGTTGTGGATAAAGGGCATTTTGCACAGTCTGTTGCTCTTCATAATTCATTTTCTGCACTTTCAGAGTGTAATGGTGTTGTGGAGAGAGGCACTGAGGCTAATGGTGTTGTGGAGAGAGGCACTGAGGCTAGTGGTGTTGTGGAGAGAGGCACTAGGCTAGTGGTGTTGTGGAGAGAGGCACTAAGACTAGTGGTATTGTGGAGAGAGGCACTAAGACTAGTGGTATTGTGGAGAGAGGCACTGAGGCTAGTGGTGTTGTGGAGAGAGGCACTGAGGCTAGTGGTGTTGTGAAGAGAGGCACTGAGGCTAGTGGTGTTGTGGAGACCGGCTTGGAGACTATGGTGAGGCCTAATAGAAAGCAGTTGTTGTTGGGGATTCCATTATAAGAGGTGTGGAGATGGACAATGGTGGTCTTGTGAGGTGTCTTCCCGGAGCTACTGCTCACAGAGACAGGAGACGTATCTGTAATATTGTTAAGCAAGCAAAGCAGGAAGGGGAATTGGATGTACTTGTCCATCTAGGGACAAATGACTTGGCTTGCAATGAGGTTTCAGAGGTTAAGGAAGTTTTAGTGTTTTTGCCAATGATATACGGCAGGTTGCTTCCACACTGTCATTCTCTGAAGTTCTGCCTGTGCATAACACTCAGAACGACAGGCGGATGCGTATTAGGGACTTTAATTTGTGGCTTGGTGAATGGTGTCGGGAGCAAGGATTTGGCTTTATTTCTCATGGTAGCTCTGTTTGGAATGGAGATAAGCTGTACAAAAAGATGGTTTGCATCTTTCTCAAAAGGGAACAAATGTTCTCAGTGAGCAGTTCAGAGGTTTTGCTAGGATGTATTTAAACTAGGAGGGGGGGCAAAAGGGTGATAAAACATCAATCCAATTGTCACCCAAAACAAGGACAGAAGGTGCCTGTAGCAAGTGTGTTAAAAAATGATAAGCTTAGAGTCATGTCTACAAATGCTCGCAGTTTAGGGAATAAGATCCATGAACTTGTGGCAATACTGGCAACTGATAGTGTAGATTTAGTCGCTGTTACTGAGACATGGTACAATGAGAAAAATGACTGGGACATAGCAATACCAGGGTACTCTTTATATAGGAAAGATAGGGAAGGCAAGAAAGGGGGAGGGGTGGCCTTGTATGTGAAGGATAGCATAAAATCTAGCCTAATAAAAGTTAGTGAGGCAAACATAGAGTCCGTTTGGGCTACGTTAGAATTTGGTAATCACACAGTAACTCGTGTAGGTGTGATTTATAGGCCCCCAGGACAAATTGAAGAGTTAGATAATCTACTAGTTGAGGAAATAGCTAAAATGACAATGAAGGGGGAAGTTATCATCAAGGGTGACTTTAATCTTCCTGATGTAAATTGGAAAACAAAATTAGCTACTTGTGCCAGGAGCACACATATTCTAAACTCCCTACTGGGATTGTCTCTAAAACAAGTTGTTGAGGAGCCAACTCGTAAAGAGGCCATACTAGATTTAGTGTTAACAAATGGAGATTTGGTATCAGATATTACTGTAGGTGAAAGTTTAGTATCCAGTGATCATCAGTCAGTGTGGTTTAATATAAGAACAGTGACTGAGTCACACCACACAAAAACAAAAGTTTTAGACTTTACAAAAACAGACTTTTATGGGTAGAGGAGTCATTATCAGACTGGAGCAATTTAAATGGGGTCCAAGAGAAATGGGATTATTTAAAAGTTTTGACACTGTTGCACATAGAAGGCTTATCAATAAACTGCAATCTTTTAAGTTTGGATTCAAATATTGTTGAATGGGTAAGGCAGTAGCTGAGTGACAGGCAACAGAGGGTTGTAGTTAATGGAATATATTCGAAGCTTGGACTTGTCACCAGTGGGGTACCTCAGGGATCTGTACTTGGACCCATTCTCTTTAATATTTTTATTAGTGATATTGCAGAAGGTCTTGATGGTAAGGTATGTCTTTTTGCTGATGATACTAAGATATGTAACAGGGTTGATGTTCCAGGAGGGATAAGCCAAATGACAAATGATTTAGGTAAACTAGAAAAATGGTCAGAATTGTGGCAACTGACATTTAATGTGGATAAGTGCAAGATAATGCATCTTGGACGAAAAACCCAAGGGCAGAGTACAGAATATTTGATAGAGTCCTAACCTCAACATATGAGGAAAGGGATTTAGGGGTGATTATTTCTGATGACTTAAAGGTAGGCAGACAATGTAATAGAGCAGCAGGAAATGCTAGCAGAATGCTTGGTTGTATAGGGAGAGGTATTAGCAGTAGAAAGAGGGAAGTGCTCATGCCATTGTACAGAACACTGGTGAGACCTCACTTGGAGTATTGTACACAGTACTGGAGACCGTATCTTCAGAAGGATATTGATACCTTAGAGAGGGTTCAGAGAAGGGCTACTAAACTGGTTCATGGATTGCGGGATAAAACTTACCAGGAAAGGTTAAAGGATCTTAACATGTATAGCTTGGAGGAAAGACGAGACAGGGGGGATATGACAGAAACATTTAAATACATAAAGGGAATCAACACAGTAAAGGAGGAGACTATATTTAAAAGAAGAAAAACTACCACAACAAGAGGACATAGTCTTAAATTAGAGGGACAAAGGTTTAAAAATAATATCAGGAAGTATTACTTTACTGAGAGGGTAGTGGATGCATGGAATAGCCTCCCAGCTGAAGTGGTAGAGGTTAACAGAGTGAAGGAGTTTAAGCATGCGTGGGATAGGCATAAGGCTATCCTAACTATAAGATAAGACTAGGGACTAATGAAAGTATTTAGAAAATTGGGCAGACTAGATGGGCCGAATGGTTCTTATCTGCCGTCACATTCTATGTTTCTATGTTTCTATGTTCGTAGTTTCACAGTCAGGTGGGCAGTCCGGTGACCAGGACCCAGACACTGTCTGGGCGGCGGTCAGAAGACCGGGACCCAGTATGCCTGATGTTGAAGTTAGGAGTCACAGTGTGGAATGGATTAGCAGGGTTTGTTGCAGGGTAACCGCATGCCCCCTGGTGTTGAGCACCAGCGTTTGTGTGGCCACATACCAGGACCCTGATGCAGCTTCAGTAAAAAGAGTACTGGATACCAGAAGTCATCACCAGACTGATCCGCAACTTGGAACAGGATATGACATTCACTGTAGTGGCTGTGCGTGCTTTTGGCGTTGTCACCCTGCTGCTGCTTGCCTGTCTGCGCTGCAGCGTAACTTCGGCCTTCCCGCTCACCGCCTCATGAGACTGTGCGAGCAGCAGCAGGCGATAGTGGAGTTTCAGCTGCAGCACGCACGGGTCAGTGGCTCTGCACCAGACTTCCCTCCACTTGATCAGAGTTAAAGGATTTCAAGTGGACTCATTACAATTACAGGGCCTCTAAAGAGTCCTGTATTGTTATTTGTCGTCACTACCTTCCCGCGTCGGGAGTGGGTCATTTGCACGCCTGCTGCCTTCCTTGCATGTGGTAGCCATTTCTCAGGGTCCCTGTACGGAATGGAACCCTGATTCCCTGTTACCCGTGGTCACCATGGTAGGCTCAGAAACTGGCATCGAAAGTTGATATGGATGACGGGGATGTGCGATTGGCCCGAGGTTCTCTAGAATCAACAAAGTTCCCACGCAACTATAATGTCAACAGCTACTCTGCGGAATAGAGTTGTCTTTTTTTATATGTCCCAATATTTTGGGGGCTACCCCAATTAAAAAAATATATATATATAAAACAGTGTGGGCTACCTCCTCCTCCACTGTTGCTTCCACCTACACCGCCACGGTCACCGCCTCCTCAACCTATGGGTCACGTAGTATAAACTATGTACACAATAGCAGAGGCTTGTGAAGGCCTTTTCTCCATGCATCAGGAGTTGAGCTCAGTTTGAACAATGAAAGAGAATACCCTGCACTCCAACCCTCTCTCAAATGGATAATTCTGGTGATCCTCCTGACAGCCATGCTTTAGATTTTGATTTATGTTCTTCCAAAGCTAAAATCAAAGATTCCATCTAGTGCTATTTTATGGCTCAGCTGTATTTTAAATTTTTATGATATTTTAGGTGATTTCCCTATCCACATTTGTTTGCAGGGCACTTGTCGTACTATTACCCCCATTTTACTTGCGTTTGCAGCTCTCTAGCTCTTTCCAGGAATTTTTTAGAGGCATTTTTGTGCCCAAATGTTCGGGTCCCCATTGACTTCAATGAGGTTCGGGTTCGGGGTCAAGTTCAGAGTCAAGTTAGAGCCCGAACCCGGACTTTTTTTCAAAGTTCGGCCGAACCCGCTGGACCCGAACATCCAGGTGTCCACTCAACGCTAATCATGAATTATGTTCCGCGACTACACCTGAGAACCTTGTATGAAAGAATTATAAACTATGAATTAAAATACATTTTAGGTGACAACAGTTAAAGCTAAAATTACAATACAGTACAGTATATAATCTCCAATGCAGGCAAAAGCAGAAATGTGATATCCAGCATGTAAATTTGTGAGTCACTTCTTAAATCACAATAATAAAATATTTAATGCTCAAACCCCTTTGAAACTATAGTAATTAACATGAAATAATACAAGAACATTCCCAGTGACAAATTGGTGGGATAACTATGCCTTGCTAACAGTTAGACTCCTCTTATGTAGCTATTCTGTATACATGCATTATTATATTGCATTATTATCAAGATTGGTGCCATTAATAAAAAGGGGGTCTACGTTGAATGTCAATGTCACTTAAACCAACTTAAAGAACCCTGGCAAAAACAAACGTCAAGCTATATTTAGTTTCCCTGTTCTAAGGATGTTTAAAAAAGATATGATCCTTTCCTGAAATTGATATGTTGACAATGTAGTATTTTTGATAGGATAAAAATGTATCAAATTCATATTTGTGGATATTATTTTGCTGATTTGTGGTGTCCTTGAAAAGGTAAAAAAAAAATGTGCATCTCAGTAATTTCCGCAATTAAATTTCCAAAAAATTTACTTATAAACAGAAGAACCGAATTAAACTTCACAATCTCTTGATTGTGTACCTATGTAGGATGTTATATCCTTCTGAATTTCCATTGTTCTGAGTACTGCAAAATGGATTCATTGTTCAGACAATATGCAAAAAGCTTTGTCTAATTATGGAAAAGAAACCATTTCTCATATTTTCCTAAACTATGCATTCATTGTTGATATCAATGTATTAGAATTGGAGTGACACAGAAAAGGAGAGAACTTGTGTAGTTCAGAGTGGAGGGAACAGGAGAAAACAGATAACAATAAAAGTTTCTAATGAATATAAATTACCCAATGAGTTTCAAAGATGTGCAGTGCTCCGTTGTGAACTTGCCATAACTCTAGCATTTAAAAATGCATTACATTAAATGTCCTTTAAAATATTTCACTAATGTCAGAAAGTCATATTATATCGAAGTGGCTGTAAAACTTGCCACATAGTATTGCTGTTATTAGATCAAAACTCGTACTAGCACATTTAATGATAATTGCAAAGTGATTATTTGGCTGAGACTGAACTGAACCCAAACTAATTGAAATCTGGATTGAAGATGGAGTAGTTGTCTATTGACTTTCTGTATTGTTTTCACATTTTATAAAGACATAGCAGATTTCTTGAACCTCAAGGCATTTCATGTCCAGGGCTGGTGCAGGGATTATTGCCGCCCTATGCAACAATCCATTTTGCTGCCCCCTCATGAATGCAGCTACATTCCCTCAGAGGTTTATTCACCAAACTCTGAATTGCAATGAAGAGACATTTAGGGAAAGAGACGCATTGAGTACACATTAAAGGGAAACTTTAGTGCCAGGAAAACAGAATTGTTTTCCTGGCACTATAGCTTCCCCCTCCGACAAGCGCACTCTCGGGGTGCAGAGGGGGTTAAAAACCCCTTCTGCCACTTACCTGGGTCCAGTGCTGATGTCCCTCTGCATTGGCTCAGGTCCACTGTCACTCCTCAATAGCCGCGCTCACATTAGGATTTCCCCATAGGAAAGCATCATACAATGCTTTCCTACAGGGTTTTTGCATGACGGTGAACATCCCCATGAATAGCCACTAAAGGTGAAGTTAACCCTGAATGGTATTTATTGCAGTTTGTTAAAAATTGCAATAATTACCTTTGCAGGGTAAGGGCACTAGGACAGTGCATCCAGATCACTTCAATCAGTTACACTATATTGTCTCAGTTGGAGGAGATAAATCTACAGCAGGTACAGATGAACTTTGAAATGGTAGGCAAAATGCAGGAGATGAATGCACGCTAGCTGCCAGAGAAAATATTGGTATGTGTTTGTCCTCGCCACACTCTCCTCTTGTAATTCATCTTGCTTAATATACTCATACTTGAGTAGCTGTTGGGCCAGAATTAAAAGTGATATGTATGCAGTGGTATTTGAAACAGAATTATCATCACTGGATTTCTCACCACCAACACCAGACATTGGGGACACTACTTTGGTACTATTCATTAAGTACTCACTAAAGTGTGTCTCAGATAACCCAAAAATGTGTTTCTGCTGCACTCTCCCTTAGTTGCTTTGGGGGGTGGGCACCAAAAAGGTATAAAGCTTAAACTGGCTGTGGTAGATGGAACTGCAGTGGCAGTGGAAGAGACAGCATGAAAAGAATGGAATAAAAACAATTGCCTCCCTTGTGTTGAATTGGATGTATATTACATTTACTAACTACACTGCTCAAAAAAATAAAGGGAACACTTAAACAACACAATGTAACTACAAGTCAATCACACTTCTGTGAAATCAAACTGTCCACTTAGGAAGCAACACTGAGTGACAATCAATTTTACATGCTGTTGTGCAAATGGGATAGACAACAGGTGGAAATTATAGGCAATTAGCAAGACACCCCCAATAAAGGAGTTGTTCTGCAGGTGGTGACCACAGACCACTTCTCAGTTCCTATGCTTCCTGGCTGATGTTTTGGTCACTTTTGAATGCTAGTGGTGCTTTCACTCTAGTGGTAGCATGAGACGGAGTCTACAACCCACACAATTGGCTCAGGTAGTGCAGCTCATCCAGGATGGCACATCAGTGCAAGCTGTGGCAAGAAGGTTTGCTGTGTCTGTCAGCATAGTGTACAGAGCATGGAGGCGCTACCAGGAGACAGGCCAGTACAACAGGAGACGTGGAGGAGGCCATAGGAGGGCAACAAACTAGGAACAGGACTGCTACCTCCGTCTTTGTGCAAGGAGGAACAGGAGGAGCACTGCCAGAGCCCTGCAAAATGACCTCCAGCAGGCCACAAATGTGCATGTGTCTGCTCAGAAACAGACTCCATGAGGGTGGTATGAGGGCCCGACGTCCACAGGTGGGGGTTGTGCTTACAGCCCAACACCGTGCAGGACATTTGGCATTTGCCAGAGAACACAAAGATTGGCAAATTCGCCACTGGTGCCCTGTGCTCTTCACAGATGAAAGCAGGTTCACACTGAGCACATGTGACAGACGTGACAGAGTCTGGAGACGACGTGGAGAATGTTCTGCTGCCTGCAACATCCTCCAGCATGACCAGTTTGGCAGTGGGTCAGTAATGGTGTGGGGTGGCATTTCTTTGGGGGGCCGCACAACCTTCCATGTGCTCGCCAGAGGTAGCCTGACTGCCATTAGGTACCGAGATGAGATCCTCAGATGCCTTGTGAGACCATATGCTGCTGCGGTTGGCCCTGGGTTCCTCCTAATGCAAGACACTGCTAGACCTCATGTGGCTGGAGTGTGTCAGCAGTTCCTGCAAGAGGAAGGCATTGATGCTATGGACCGGCCTTCCCATTCCCCAGACCTGAATCCAAGTGAGCACATCTGGGACATCATGTCTCGCTCCACCCACCAATGTCACGTTGCACCACAGACTGTCCAGGAGTTGGCAGATGCTTTAGTCCAGGTCTGGGAGGAGATCCCTCAGGAGACCATTCGCCACCTCATCAGGAGCATGCATAGGCATTGTAGGGAGGCCACACACTACTGAGCCTCATTTTGACTTGTTTTAAGGACATTACATCAAAGTTGGATCAGCCTGTAGTGTGTTTTTCCACTTTAATTTTGAGTGTGACTCCAAATCCAGACCTACATAGGTTGAAAATTTTGATTTCCATTTTTTTATTTTTGTTGTCAGCACATTCAGCTATGTAAAAAACAAAGTATTGCAGAAGAATATTTAATTTATTCAGATCTAGGATGTGTTATTTTTATTTTCCCTTTATTTTTTTGAGCAGTTCTCTCTATTTATTGATACGCTAGTCTCACACTAGGGTCAAAGATATAATGCCTGCTAATGTTAATTTCCCACTCAGTTATTTCAAGTAGCAGTACAGCAGAAAGCTAAACCTAGTCTCACACTAGAATAATAACAAAGTATTTAACAGTACTCATTTTATCTACCTTGGTAGGATGAAGGGCTGAGTCAACACTGCTGGAGTTTAAACCTGCAACTCAAGGGGTGAACAGATTCTACTAATGATGTATTAGCCCACTGAGCTATCTAACCAGGTTATCCTGGCTTTCTCCCACTTCAACATGGACACAGCAAGGGTAAACATACAGTATCACTGCTGCTCTGTCTCCCACAGAAATTAAAATCAAAGTGTCTAGATGAATCCTGCTTGAAATATAATTGTTTTACTTCTCATTCTTTTTCCCCCTCTATTGATCACTTCCCCGGATCTGTGAATAAACTTAACATTTAGCAGCTGTTGCTTAATCATTAATCATCTTTTTTGTCACCTCTTTATTGGATATTAGATAGAGCTCACATAATTGGG